TTAGTAAGGTGTCTATAGACAGAACCCAACGAGTATGCTATGTAGACGAGTTGAAAGTTGTGAAACTGTTGACCGAAACATCGGTGCTGCACGGTTACCTACCAGGTAAGCTGAATATATAGGGCGGGGCGTGTTACTGGAGATAGAGCAGGAATTAAATGAAATAATGGAAAGCTGTGACTAATGAAATTGGCTAAGTCACCGACTAGTTCAATGAGTAACGAATTGGTTCAATAACTATCTAAGCAGTCAGCTTTGTGTTCATGTTGATCGTTTAGTATATGGTCAACATGCCGAATGAGGAAGTGACGTGAGACAAGGTTGGGAGTGACGGGTGAAGTGGGGTCCGTTGAATGAGCTGTTGGCGAACTTAGGGGATAGTCAGAAAGGTTGGTCAACATATTCTTAGGGCTGGGAGCAGTTGTTATTAAGGAGAGTGGATTGTCACTTTTTGATTGGAGCATATGTAAAATAACCTTAAAAAATGGAGATATCGCTTTCAACAGTGGATGACTGCATAGAAGCGCTACTGATGAGGAAAGAGCTAAAGATGACTAGATGATGTCTCAAGCTATTGGGTGTCCAAGAGTTCTATGGGGTGGCTTAGCTCCTGTAATGTCTAGTATCGTGGGTCAACATAACCGATTTTGTACGTGCTACAGGGCATTATAAACCTGTTGTTGTCAATTAAGGAGTTTACATCTTAAATTAGAAATGGGGAGATTGCCTGAGATTATTGCTAACACAAGTGTCCGTGTTATGTGCAGCTGTATTCCAGTTCTCGTAACTTAAAATTACCTCTAAAAAGCTTACTGATGTGAGTAGACGTCTTGGTAGTGAGGCTTAACTAAAAGTTAGAATGATTTGGTACTGTTTGCCTTCTCTGTGTGCTTTAGTTCTGTGGGGAAGGAAATGAGAGACAAGCAGCATAGTTTAAGGCAATGGCTAGTTTGTCATCGATGAATCGTTGCACTTCTAAATTGCTTGTAATTTAGAAAATTAAGCTCATGATTTCATACAGACTTAGACTTAATGCAGATGGCTACGTCGTATCTTACTGCATATGCCGATTTACATGTTTGTATGGGTACGTAAATAGAGAGAGGTAACTGAGCAATCTTATTAGGGTTTATAAAACATATGCCTAGATAGATTGAAAACCAATTAATGCCAGTTACCCAGGCAAAAACGGAGTGATGAACCATATTCAGCAATAGCAAAGCATACAGTTAAAACAGTCGATAGAATGGATATCATTACAACTTGCAAAGCATACAGATGTTAAGGTCGAGTTCCTAGGTTTGTAAGAGTCTTGGCTATTCGTGAATCCGAATTCAATATATTGTAACCCGTATTATGCACTGGTAATCCTTAAAACTTTCTACGACCTAGATTATCGTGATCAATTCCCATTCTCTTCATATTAATCCTTTTTATTTTATTTACATTTACCACCCTATATTTATTTGGACTCATGTTTGATTGATCTTTGTCAGTTTTTATACATAAATGCCTTGAGAAATACATTTGTGATCAGATTGTTCGAAAAGTATGACGCAAATATATCACATCATTTAGATCACCTTAGTTTTTATTTTACTGTCAAAATTAAATAGAAACATATTTTTCTGCCCTATTTAGAAATAGTCAAGTTGTGTATTTATTTTGGTTTATTACGTCAGTCAGGCACAACGTAGAACCTGATACTTATGTACATCGGTTCACGTTGCTATACCCCATTAGCACACCGAGATGAAACTGTCAGATCCGAATCCAAGAACCGTAGGGTTAGTGACAACGTTAATAGTAATTGGGAAGATTAGGCATCGGAAATGCTAATCGAGAAGAAAACATAAATTAGTGAGATAAAAACAAATAATGTAGTGAGGAATTTAGAGTCTGGGAATTTGATGAAATACTGAATAGATTGACCTACACTACTGGAAACGATTTTGAGCAATTTCATACACAGTCTAGAACCATCGGCTACGGTAATCATGCATACTCCAAATAGGTGGTCTACACCAATTAATATGCCCAAGTTTAATTATCTATGACTTCATGGACTGATGCCATGTTTTGGGTGCACGAACGCAGAACCTAAGAAAAAAATGCTTGAGGCAAGTCACGCACGGTCTATTTATGGGGTGTTTTTGATATGTCAGCACTGCACTTCGAAAGGCCTTATCAATAAGTCAGTTTCCTTTTTAAGTCCATCAATAAGAAATATCCTACACGGTGTGGACAGCCGGGAAGTGACAACCATCCTCATAAATTTAACAGGACCCCAGATCATCTATCTCACGATCGAACCCCCCTCACTTAATATTTTCTGAAACCACGCTCGAAACCACATATTGAAAACTCATATGGTCGAAACTTGTCACATAAGCTGGCCAGCTTTTTTTTTACCAGATCATTGTTGCTACCTTGACTTGGTAGTCGGGCTTGCCTATCGTGATGAAGCAATCGAAATATACTGGCTGCAACAATCGTTCCTCAAGGTCCTACCATGCCAGACAGGTCGGTTGAAGAGCAGTAAAAGCAACAAACCCAAGGTCCGAAGGCGAAGTCGTACTCTTACTGTACAGAGGTGTGACGGCAGTAAGGTGTTTCCTTCAGACAACCAGCATAACAGCGACGCTGCCTTCCCATAAAGGAAGGGTGGGGTTAGAAAAGGCCAACCTAAAAAATGCACGCTTCGCCTAATCCTGTGGATTCCCTTCTCCGTCGGTAAGTTCTCATCAAGTATGCAGCTAACGCAAAACCTGCCCACGAAAACGTCGTCCGTGACCGATCTCAGGCAGTTGTCCTTTGGGCACTGCGGTCACGCTCTCAGGTCACTAGGACCACCTCTAATCCAATTCCCCTTTCAGGTACCTCCAAAAGAAACTGTCCACGGTGTGGGCAACCGGGAGTTGATAACTGCCCTTAAGACCACTGTATTCATTACCAACCTCTCCAGTTCCTATAATTCCTCATACATCGACCTTCAACACTAAACTTCCTCTTTTGGCTTCCTCCTCAAGTGTCAGCATGGCCAACGATCCTAGTGAGCAAAACTGTTCCAGGTCTACTGAAACCTCCCTCCAAACTATACATTGGAGCCTTTAACGTACGCACCTTATGTCAAGTCGGCCACCAGGCCTCCTTGACTAAGACCCTAGAACCTCGTACCATTGATGTATGCTATGTCTCTGAAACACGCATACAGGATCCTAGTGTGGCCATTCACTTGACCTCACCTCGGCAAAACGGAGAGCCGACGAGATACACCCTCCGTGTATCTGGCGACCCGATGGTTAGTTCTCGTGGACTGACGGTCGTAGGCATAGCACTAAGTACGAGGGCGGAACAAGCACTATTAGAGTGGATTCCCGTTAACAGTTGCCTATGTGCTGTTCGGCTAAACGGCTGCGTAGGAATTCGGAAGAATAGGGACACACGTCGTTGCTTTTTCGTCGTTTCTGCCTACGCTCCCACTGACTGCAGCCTGGATAAAGTGAAAGATGGCTTTTACAGAAAGCTTTCTGAACTTCTTCATAAAGCTAAACGCTCAGACATAGTACTCGTAGCAGGTGAATTTAATGCCCAGGTATATAGGTAGGTTAAGCCAAACAGAAAGAAAGTTAGATGGGTATTTTGGCTCAATGAATAGATAATGGTGATCGTCTGTTGCAACTGTGCTCAGACAATCGTTTATTTTTAGCAAGCACTAATCTAAAAAGCATAAGGAGAGACCTAGTTGAACATGGCGACCCCCTGCACCAAACAAACGATGGACTCAAATACACCATATAGCTACCAGTTATCGCAGGAGAGGCTCGATAGAAGACTACCGCTCGTTCTGGAGTACATGTTTAGACTCTGATCATGCTCTAATACGAGCACGCACTTGCTTGCGCCTCACTCGACGCGGAAAAGCCACACTAAGAAGACCCATTAGAATTTAATTGAGTGATTAGAAAGCCGAAACTAGATTCCAGGAACAACAAGGTGGTTCTTCAGACTAATAAAAAACTGGGACCAAAAAGTCGAATGTAAGTGAGACTGTCTCGGAAAAAGACGACACTTATCTGTTCCCAGCCCAGACGTTCAGAACGATAGATGAAAAACTTTAAAGAGCAGTTCAGTTGGCCTTCAGCTACTCAGCAACTACCCACCATCCAAATGGATTAACTCCATAGGTACCACGTAGCTCTATTTTGTGAAGACCGACGAAACTCAACGTTTCTTGATCGCCTTTGACAGTATTCCTAGCCTTTTTAGAATGAATGTTTACCGCTCGAACTCCATATTATTACTTCAAGACATATTTGCATCAGTGCCCAAACTAATAATATGAATTAACGTAGCTGATTTTTAATATCAGTGAGTTAACTGCTATGAATTTGTTGTTCATAGTGTTGTGCTAATGAGGTATAACTTGGACCAATATATATTTTTAACTGGTCCTACGCTATAGCTGATTGGATGTTGTTTTCTGGCTATGACTTCAGAATCTCGTGCGATCGATGTGTGCTGTCTGCGAAACGCACATAAACGATCCCAGAACAGCTATCCATTTGACTTCACCTCGTCTATATGAGCAATTGGAGCTGTTTACCTTTCGAGTATCTGGTGGCGGTTGTACCTTCCCATTCTTCCACACCGTGTAAGGATATTTCTTATTAAGGGACCTAAAAGGAAAACTGGTGATCTAATACGAATTCAACCAAGTGATTGCGTACAAGGTGTGAACATTACCTTCGATGCAATCATTAATCACTGTACCATAGTCTGTTGAATTAAATCCATAACGTAGTGATTAAGTGAATTCATTAAATATTCAACTTGGAAATGTGGAATCACATGTCTTATCGAGGTTAAGTGAAATTTTTTACTTTGCTTGATCAATGTAAATCACGGTAATGTATGAATCTGCAATAACTTTTCAATCGTTTATGAAATTTTATTGCAGTTTACTAAGACGTTTTGTCTACCAGAATAAAGTTCACTGAATGTCGTCTGTACAGTAAGTTAAGTGTTTTACTTACACTGAGATTTGTCAGATTTTGTGACTCAACTGACGCTAATGATCAAATAACTCAGAATGGATACAATCAATTCAACATTCTTTGTCCGCGATGTTCCAGTATTGTTCTTCGCAAGAATACAGCAAAGCTAGCCAACAAACAAGTAAGAATTTTAAAATCTGACATTAGTTTTCTCTCACTGTAACGTCCCTGTTCAGTAATTATACACCAGATGAATAATTCGATATATCAGTGTAGAATCCCTCACAAAAACCCATAGACTCAAGTTGGGACACATCACACTTCTTTCCGATTTCTGCTTATACTCTTACCACCTCTACCACTACGGGATTTGAATCGACAACTGCATCTCTAGGCTAATGTTGTATGGCAACTCGAACCGATATACGTACGTACGTAGTTCTACGTTGTTACTGACTGAGTGACTGAGATTCCAAGAACAACAAGACAGTTCTTCAGACTCATAAAAGAAACTAGAATCAAGAAGCCAAATGTAAGTGAGACTATCTCGGAAAAAGATGACACTTATCTGTTCCCAGCCCAGACGTTCAGAACGATAGATGAAACACTTTAAGGAGCAGTTCGGCTGGCCTTCAGCTACTCTATAACTACCCACCAACAAGATGGATTAACTCCAGAGGTCTTTAAGGATGATGGTCTAGTCTTAGCGATTAGGTTAACTAATATTTTAGCTAACATCTGGGAGTTGGACGTGATCCCATCTGACTGGTCGCAATTACTGGTCGTCCCAATATATAAGAAGGGGTCAAAACCATCCTGTGATAACCATCGAGGTATTAGTTTGACTTATGTAGCATCTAAAATACTAGACTCAATAATTATCGGGCGCCTAAGAAAGACTTGTGAACTACAAACACGTGAAAATCAGGCTGGCTTCAGATGTAATCAGTAAATAAAGCTGTCATTTGCGTATTCTAACTCAATAGGTAAATCTAGTTGATGATCTACCTTTGAAGAGCTAAACGAAGAATTCAAATAAGCATAAAGGGATTTCGTGACCTTAAAGAATATTGCTTAATATTGAGCTATCGCTTGACCAATTCAAATACTACCTTCAAGTTAGGAAATACCACTATGGTCGGTAAGCATATCTGTGTTCCGAAACCTGACGAAGGTTGAACATCTGATTGGTGCATCTACATACAAGTCTAAAACCAGTTTGATTTTCCTAGGTTCATTCTTCACAAGTCAGTCAGTTAGTAACAACGTAAAACTACGTACGTACGTACATCAGTTCGAGTTGTCATACCACATTAGCACATAGATGCAGTGGTCGATTCAAATCCCATTGTGGTAGAGGTAGTAAGAGTATAAGCAGTAATCGGAAAGACTAGGGTTTGAAGATGTTATTCAAGGAATATAATCCAATGAAATAAATCTGGAAAGAGAAAAAAAGGGGACAAGGTAGACTCAGGAGATTAGACTTTGGGAGAACACAAAGAGTGGATGCACCTGCGCCATTGCACACGATTTTGAGCCATGTCATTCAGGGTCTCTAACAATCGGTTGCTATCATCTCGCGGTCCCCAACCAGGTAGTCTACACCTACCAACATGGCTCAGTCCACTTGTCAGTGACTTCATGGATTTGTGCCATATTTTGGTCTGGCCGCCCCTAGCTTTCATCCAACCTACTCATATACCATAAAACATCGCTCGTCGAGGGAGTCGGTAGTTGGGCATACGAAATACGTGTCTCAGCCATCTCAGCTGATGAAGTTTTACTACTTCACCAATGGATTTGCCATCCTTACCTGGTACCCGTTTCCTAACAACTGCATTACTTACTCGATGGTCCCAGGATATACGAGTAATGTTTCGAAGACATCTATGATCAAATACTAGTAACCTACGAATATCCTCTACTCTTACCGGCCATGTTTCACTGCCATAAAGTAGGACGGAACGAACTGCTGCGCAGTAAACACGTCCTTTGGTTGATAGACGGATATCTCGCCTACGCCACAAATGACGCAAGTTTGCAGTAGCTAGTCGAGCCTTCTATATCCGTGCTGAGATTTCGTCACACACCAGACCACAAGGGTTGATGAGACTTCCAAGGTAAGTGAAGCGGTCGACACACTCAACTACTTCACTCCCTATCACTAGTTCGGGTGTCGATGTAACCCAATCCTGAAGCAACATTTTGCATTTCGAGGGAGAGAATCGCATCCCGAACATGCTTGCATTGTTGCTTAGAGTGGTCAGAAGACTCTGCATTTTGTCAGCGTCTTCACCAAATAAAACTATGTCATCAGCATATTCTAAGTCAACAAGTGAACCTCCCGGTAGAAGTTCAACCCCTGGAAATTTAGATGATGAAAGTGTTATCTCTAAAAGTACGTCGATCACAAAGTTGAACAAGAATTGGGAGAGTAGACAGCCCTGACGAACACCACTTGAGGTAATCAATCAGGTGCGCAACATTGTATGTAATAAATCAGAGACTTCTCTTTGGTTATCACAAAAGAATTTCAGTCTTTTATAGGGCGACCAGTGATTGAGATCATCTTGATGGGACTATGTCCAGCCCCCAAACCAGCTGGTACCTCAGTCAATTAAAATGTTTAGACTGAACCACCATACTTTAGTATCTGAACATTTGGTCTATCAGATATAGCTGTTCCTCATTGCTGCGATCTAGATATGGCCTTTCCAACTTCGCTAAGATTTGGGAGACTTGTTTCAACTTTCCATCCAGGTAGTTTAGAAACAATGAATAACTAGGGAGTAACTGAAGACCAGTTAAGAACATTAAAGTGTTCTAGTCATCTCATTCCCATGAACTGAGAGTCGACTGCCGTTCCATCTTCGAAAATAGTTTAATTTAATTCCGGCTTTTCTTGATAAGCCTGAACAGCTGTCTGATATTATCTATTGCTGCTGCATTTTGCATCCCTTTTAGCTTCGTTTCCACCCACTAACTACGATCATCGTGTAGGCTTCTTGTCAATCCATTGTAGTATTCCTCGCTCTCTGAGCCTGCTGGGATGAGTCTACGAGCATTCATCAGTTTAGTGGATGTTTCGAAATCCACTGGTCTTTCTAAACCTTTTGATTTATGCTCCTGGAACTTATCACTGTTGCATTTACAACTGTTTGAGTATTCTCCAACTATCGGCTAGCGCTGATTGGATAAGAATTAGCCAATCAGCGTGCAGCAAAGTAATCGTGCATTGAGCATGCTTTAACCCAGTCTATTTCCCGCTAACAATTAGTTGCCCAGTGTGTGTGTGTGTTGGTAGGAGGAACCGCACACTTTTATTCTGTTGTAGCGATATTTGGGTACACACGAACTGTGGTCTCTGTGTGATTCAAATATTTTGCGTAAAAAGTATTGTTAGTTGATTACCTCATTCAATTTAACACTAACTTGCACTGGTACAAAACAAATATAACAGGTTGGGCATCATTTGTCAAAGTGCATTAGTGATTGTCAAAAATATATAAGCCAACTAAACCTACAGAATGCATAGCTTAGTTGCACCCTCAATTTTTGTTCATTTAATAAAATTTCTTATTCATTCTACGAAAAAGCAGGTCAGAGTGTCAATAGACAATCTTGGTCGTCACATTAACTGCTTTAGTATTTTGTCACTGTACTACTTTTTAGTGTAAAAATTCCATCATCTGCTAACATCTCGTTTGTGACAAGATATAAAAATCCCAGGGTGTTGACACTTAGCAACCACACTTTTGTAACAAGCTCCCAGATGCTTTGTTAACCGTATTATGAGATTCCTAGCTTATATCAAGTAGAGATAACTGCTGTCCCATTGTTGGTGTTGAACGTCAATAAAGGGACCAATTCCTAACACCATTCTGTGCAACAAATAGAATGACATTTCGGAGTCAATAAATTTTCTGTTTAATACTCAGTTCACATTCAGCAACGAAACACTACGTCTATTCTTGTAACAGTCTGAATAAAGAAGTATTCTCCTGTTCTTTTTAGCACAACTTGCCCGTATTTGCTAAAAAATCGGAACTATCTAATCCCTCCAAAGAATTCCCTACGGAACTAACTAAAGAATTTTGGTGTGTTAACGATATGTACGCATTTGAAAATGTTGGATTTACAAACAGCGTAAGCACATTTCGTTACCTAACGTGTGCTGATTGCGATCTTGGACCATTGGGTTTCCATGATACTCAGGAAGGTCCAACTAATGCATATTATATTGCGCTAACCCGTACCACTACTGAAGGTAAATCAAGCTGTAAAAAATAAGTACTTAATGAAGCACTATTCAAATGATGCTGTATCAATAGTATGGTTCGCCTTTGAGAAAAAATCCTACTTACTGAACGCTCACGAGTGTAAAACTGTCAGCAGACCAGTCCCAATATACTAAATTAATCGAGTTTTGTATTATTTGCCACTAAAAGGATTATATTTTTATTCGTGCAAGTAATCTTTTGTATTCTTAGTGACATTATTTTATAATTATCGTTTGGTTTTCAAGTTTGTATTCCATATGATTTGCTCACTTACATGTGGCATAAAATTCTTGGCTAGTTTTCCTTAACATTAGATCAAACCATTAGGAGTAATCCATGATGGAGTTACTAATTATGCCATGCAGTTATTCAGTGGCTAATTGTTTCTACCATTCGGTCATCATTGGAAACGTTTTAGACAACAGACCATCAGGACGAGACTATAATTTATGGACGGATCAATCAGACTTACGATAACAGGTCTTAAATTTTGGCGCAAAATTAATTTATTTATGTGGCTAAAGAGTTTCGGGATTATAGCTGATGTCAGTTCGTGATGAAAAGCTTCAATCTAATTCCTAACCCTAACTATCAACTGTAAATACTAATCGTAATTCCCCATACTGGCTTATAACACTGATTTGGCCGTAACATGTACGTGGAATTTCTCAAGGTCTTTTTAGCGTCGCTCGAAGTCGTCCATAAATTATAGTCTCACTACCATCAGCGCTGCTCACCAAGTATTACTTTTAAATTTCTAAGGAAAAGCATCTGGTGATTCAGAACATAGTTAATTATTCTGGACAGAATCTCCTTCAGCGAGAATATGGGAAAGTAATAGATATCGATGGTGAGGTTCCCAGTTAACTACTCAACAAAGCAGTTTGAAGGCACTTTGGTTGAACATCCATATATTTTTCGTATAATGTATTTTGACTTACTACTCATCTTAGCATGTGGAGAATCTGGATTTATTCAAATGCAACTTTGCATTTTTGTCAAGTACCAGTTTTATTGATGGATGTGACGCCAAACCAGTGACAATGAAATTAACGTGCGCTTGTATTTTCAAGTCGTTCAAGTTTACTTCTTCCACATACTTGGCAGAAAGACTTAAAGGATTCGAAAGCGAATTAATAAGTACGAGATCTATAAAGAAAATAAATGTTGGGTTAATCTTAAATATCATATCCCTCTAAAAAGTGCTTTATTGAAATAATTTCACTGATAACTTCGAAGGTGGATGTATAGTATTTTAAGGATCTAAGGGCTTTAGGAGTAGACATATACTCCCCAAGTATACTGTCTATTGCTAAACAATAACTCACAAATTCATTAAACAACTACTAAGCATTTTCAACATTTTAACCGCTGGACGTGAAACTCAAAAAACACATTGGTATCGTATTCATTATATATATAGGCCACTATGTGGAATTTGTGGTAATCACTATGGAAAAAAAAATTGATATCACAGAACTTCAGTTACAAAACTTTGGGCAATAATTCAAAGCATAAGAAGTTAATTAACTAAATGGTTAAGAAATTCTACCAGTTTTTTGAACGGCGCCGTATATAGACAGCAAGTTCATGGAAAAGAAAACTTATAGGTATAACAGATGTCATTAACCAAAATAATGCTGTTACAAATACCCAGGCTCTGCTGAAATGATAAAAAGGAAAGAAAATGACTTGATATATATAAACATGAGTTGCATTACAAAATTTACTCGACTTGCGTGCCCGCTAAAAATGCAGTGTAATGAGTATCATAGCTTAAAGATCACACCTTTCCCTCAAATGATGTATAGTATATTAGCTGACAAACTAGTTCTTCCAATGCTTTAAAAATTCCCAATACGGATGATATATACGAGCTCACGTATGTTCACAGAAAGTGAATCTTAGCTTAGTTTACGGCAGACAGTCGAAATTAAGTAGCAATTAGAAAACTACCACTCCAAACAATTGTTTACACAGAAAATAATGTTAGTTAATCTTTTTCACAACCTACCTATAAACATCATAGATGAAGGTGCAATCATGTGGAAGTAAAAACCAATCGAAGTATATTTTTGGTGTGCACACAGATGTGAGGGCTAAATTAGTAGAGTAGAAAGTGAGCGTAACACAAACAGTCAGTAAAACGATGGACCAAGCACGATTAGACTTGCTGACAAATATATTCATACACGAAAAATACCAATCTCCTTCGAAATTTTGTTTCTTGAGATATATAAACGATAAAAGCAAAAGGATTTCATTAAATAAATTTAATGCACAACTCTTCAGATAATTTTTTGTAGTGCACAAAGTGTACGGGTTTCAAGAGTCAGTGTTAAACAGATTTGGATTGAACCGCGAAATGTGACAAATTGTATCATTTCTTTATTAACAATGGATTTTTTTTACTTACTTTGGGCCAACTCGAAAGTAACTACGAGGACTGGTATCTGATCGTTGCATACATACTCCTCCACAAGATTTAGTTCTTAGGTTAACGTTACGATGTGAATAACCCCAGTTTATGTTATGCGGTAGTGCCTCATATTCAGGTTGATAGGCATGGAATACAAGTGAGGTGTAGATTTGCAAATACTTCTAATATGGTTGATGGATGAGTGAGTACATCAGATAGCAAAACTGTATCTCATGAAGTGAAGGCCATTTAAACAATTCATCGATTTGTATATCGAAGTGACGTTAAGGTGGCAGTGTTATTTACTTAGCAATCAGTGATATCACAAATGATTACGTTTGAACATATGATTCAACATCCAAACTGGAGAAATGAATATCATTTGCAATAATCTTCGAAATTTAAGTGGAAAAATGCACGCCGTATGGGTTCTCACGATAGGGAGTTTAGGGTGTGATAACCTAGTGGACAGCGCCGCCACTCAGAAATTCTAACCATGAAATTCAGCAACTAGTCAGATATCTGTCACGCGAAACAGCGTGTTCCCATCATAATATCAAGTAATTGAGGTTTTTGACTACGTTTTTTAACATAACCTCTGTAGATTAAATTAGTGATCCCGTGAAGCTTGAAAATTTTAATTCTTAGGTGACGACTAACCCCAATCAATTTGACCTGATCACTTTACTTGTCGGTGCAAAAACATGTGTATACTACACAAAATAAATCAATGGTAAATGGTTCCGCAATGTAATTGAGGTGAAATATTTGCTAAACGATTTGATTTTCAACTTGGGTCATATAATTTTTCTAAGCGTTTGGTTACTTTCTATGTATATATAGATGATATTATGTATGCGTTTCATATACGCTCATGTATAAAGGCTTGTGTGTTACACTGAAACTTTTAATATTTGCTAACCAGCTACTCCCAGAACATAAAATGGTGGTTTTACAGCTTCTACTTTTAAAAAAGTTAACTGACGACCTTTGAACTATGCCAATGGGAAAAAGCAAACGTCACTCACATTAGTATCACGAAATATACATACAGTGTGTTTCCATAACCCAAATACAGTGAGCTTACTTCCATTTTTCTCTGGTTTATTTCCAAGATATCGGGAATCTAATAACAAATATTTGACGTAACAGAAACATTCTTTTGTCAGGGAATTTTTCGTATAAAAATTACAGAACAAAAATCAAATTTTAGAGCATATCAACCCATGAGGGATCTTACGCAATTATAGCCAACATAATGATCCCAAAATTTCGACGTCTGTACGTAGATTGTCAAGGTGTAACTCCATTAAAACCCATCAGTGTATATAACATTTGAATTAACCCGAAATATTTGGGTTAACGTAGCTATTTATTTAAGTCGATTCGTTCTACAATGGATTTCGATGCTGGAAGGAGAGCCTTCTCAACGATGCCTCATTACGACTGAGGTTTCTAGATTCCTTTAGTCTTTTACACTTACCAGGACTACGTTGCATTTCCTAAAACCTCTGAAAGCGATCACTTTAGGTAAGTAGCCTTTCGTTGTCAATAAATTCCGTGTATTGGTCTCAATGTAAGCCACGCACGAATACACGAAATTTAGATGACTTGTATCAACAGATGATAATGTGTCTAAGTATTGTTCATCTCTATTCACAATGTTTAGTTCAGTCGTTAGCGGTTTTCATTTAGTCTGCCCCCCCCGAATGCCCTGGTACGGCCGAGAGTGGGGAGAGTCCGCTCTCCCTCTCGAAATACTCTCACACGGCCGCGCGTATACAGCCTCTGCCAGGGAAGTCCTACTCATTGCCTTCTCGTTGGGGGGGGTGTTGTTTACGAAAATGAGAGGACGAAAAGCGAATGTCCGGCGCTTTAACCGGATCACAAACCAATGCTGCACATGGGCTCCAGTATCCTGCGGGAACAAATGGCGTATGGACCAATCGTTGGTCACCGGCTACCATGGGATTGCATCTCCTTACGATGCTCCACTGCCTTGTGGGTTAGACCTTTAGGTCAAAGGCTCGGGGTGCGGCCCCCTAAGATAACCACCTGCCTCGGTTTGGGCATCCGGGCAGTATCACAGCCCACACACAAATGATGAACTCTTTATGTCTATGGAAATTACTTTTCTCGCTTGGAAAAACAATCAATTGATTCAAATTATTACCATTACAATTATTGTCATTATTATTATTATTTACCACATTATTCACCCTCTTTATACTTATACAGCAGCTCGCCCATGGTGGAAACTCTGTTCTATCTAAACGTTCTCGAGTCACTGTCCGTTTGAAAATTGTATGTTACCACTGATTACAAATATTGAAACAATTTTTCTGAAACCGCGTGCACGATTCAAACTGGCTGCCTTCAACGTTCGCACACTAATGCAGGTCGGACAACAGATAGGGCTGGCTATGTCTTTGGAAAGTCTTAATATTGATGTTTGTTGTCTATCCGAGACCCGTATTCAAGACTCTGGCGAAGTACTACAAATTCGATCTCCATCTGTCGCTTCGAAAAGCTTGTTTTACGTGCGCTTATCCGGGGACCCTGTGGCATCTTCGTCTGGTCTTGCTGGCGTTGGTGTCGCACTAAGCGCTAGAGCTGAGGCAGCACTAGTCGATTGGATCCCCATTAACAGTCGGTTATGTGCTGTTAGATTAGAAAGTTCCATCAAAGTGAGAAGAAATCGGCGTGAGAAACGATGTCTTTTCGTCATCTCCGCCTATGCCCCGACAGATTGCAGCCCGGATGCAATCAAGGATGAGTTTTACCACCAGTTATCTGTTCTTCTCCAGAAAGTGCGTTCGACAGATATTGTAGTACTAGCCGGAGACTTGAATGCTCAGGTCGGGCGTCTAGGCACAGAAGAGAGTCGTTTAGGTGGCCGATGGGGACTCGTTGGTCGCAGGTCAGATAACGGGGACCGTCTACTGCAACTGTGCACAGACCACAACCTGTTTCTGGCTAGCACTAACTTTCGGCACAGTCATCGCCGATGTGCCACCTGGCGTCCTCCCTCTGCATCTCAAGCCTGGACTCAGATTGATCACATCGCGATCAGCTACCGCTGGCGTGGTTGTGTACAAGACTGCCGCTCCTTTTGGAGTACCTATCTGGACTCTGACCATGCCTTGGTCTGCGCCAATCTTGCCTTACTTTTCAGTGGACAACGAAGTGACCGCCATCAACGGATTGATGTTAGCAAGCTGGTTGCAACTTCTGTTGCAAGTAAGTATCGAACCGAGCTAGCCTCTAGGCTAGCTACCACTCCACCGAAAAGTATAGATGAGCATTGGTTGCAATTGCATGACGCCATGAAAATGGCGGGAACAGTCAGTTGTGGGTTTGCGAAACGTCCCGCTTTAAGCACTGGGTTTCTTCTGGTTCCTTACAACTCATTGAAGCCCGTCGGTCTACTCCGGGTGACCGTGAGTTTGACCATAAACGAAGGATGTTACGTAAGGAAATTGGGCAAAGCTTGCGTAAGGACCGAGAAGCCTGGTGGTCGAAGCGTGCTAATGAGCTGGAAGCAGCAGCTGCATCTGGTAACTACCGGAAGCTCTTCCAGCTCATCCGAGCCACTGGCAGCAAGAAGTCTGGTGTGAGTGAAACAATCTGCGAGGATGATGGGATGCCAATCACTAACATCCATCGACGTCTTGGACGATGGGCAGAATTTTTCGAAGGGCAGTTCAACTGGCCTGCTGCTCCGGCAACATCGGTCAGACTGTCCTGCCCTCCATGGCCGGTGACGACTGATCCACCAAACGAGGAGGAAGTCCGCAAGGAACTCCAACTCTTGAAGCGTTACAAATCACCTGGCCCAGATGACTTACCTCCGGCTCTTTTTAAAGATGGTGGTGACTTTTTGACTAAGGAATTGACGACGTTGTTTACAAAGGTTTGGGAACTAGAGAGTGTACCAACGTCATGGAATGAGTCGATAGTTGTCCCTATCTTTAAAAAGGGTTCACGTCGTTCCTGTAACAACTATCGGGGGATAAGTTACTTCCGATTGCGTCCAAGCTATTGGCTTCCGTCATACTTCGTAGGTTGTTCAAAACCCGAGAAAGATTGACTCGCGAGGAGCAGGCTGGGTTTCGTTCTGGTCGAGGATGTATTGATCATATCTTCACCCTCCGCCAAATGTTAGAACACCGCCATACTTATCAAAGGCCAACAATCGTAGTGTTTCTTGACATCAGGGCTGCCTTCGATTCGTTGGACAGGACTGTTCTCTGGGATTGTCTATTGAAGAAGGGTGTGCCTGAGAAGTTTATTAACATCCTAAAAGCCCTATATAAAAACACCTCAGGCAGAGTGAGGGCATACAACCACCTCTCTCCATTGTTCCATTCGAGCAGTGGGGTTAGGCAGGGTTGCCCAATCTCACCATTCCTCTTCAACTTTGCCATCGATGACATTCTGGAAACAGCTCTGATGAATGTAAGTAATGGTGGTGTGGATCTGTTGCCTGGAGAAAGACTTCTCGACCTTGAGTATGCGGACGATATTGTCTTACTGTGCGATAATGCCCAAGGCATGCAATCCGCACTTAATCAGTTGGCAATCAGTGTCCGTAGGTATGGTATGTGCTTTGCACCTTCGAAGTGCAAAGTACTTCTACAAGACTGGCAGGATTCTAATCCTGTACTCACCCTGGATGGTGAGCAGATAGACGTAGTCGAGAAGTTCGTGTATCTGGGTAGCTGCATAAGTGCTGGTGGGGGTGTGAGTGATGAGATCAATGCACGAATAGTGAAAGCCAGAGCGGCTTATGCCAATCTGGGCCACCTTTGGCGCCTTCGTGATGTTAGTCTGGCTGTAAAAGGTCGGATCTACAACGCGTCGGTGAGAGCAGTTTTGCTCTATGCTTGTGAAACCTGGCCTCTCCGAGTTGAGGACGTTAGACGACTCTCTGTGTTCGATCATCGCTGTCTCCGAAGGATTGCTGACATTCAGTGGCAACACCATGTCAGTAATGCAGAGGTTCGGCATCGTGTGTTCGGGCACAGAGATGATAATTCAATTGGTGTCACCATCTTGAAACACCGACTTCGGTGGCTTGGACATGTTCTCCGAATGTCGTCCCAGAGAATTCCACGTCGTGCATTATTTGCCGACTCTGGGACTGGTTGGAAGAAGCGGAGAGGTGGTCAGTGCATGACATGGTGTCGTGGCATGAAAGAAAGCTGCAAAGGACTGGCTTGTGTTGGTCCTTCACGACTCCCTGGTTGGGGTCCGAGAGATGGTGCTACACAGTGGCTAGAGACGTTATCAGATATGGCTCAGAATAGAAGCCAGTGGCGATCCTGCTGTAACCTTCTTTTACTTTCTTCATAAAAAGTGGTTGTGTCTCCTTACCTGAAAGATTTCTTCTGATTGTACCTTTCCGTTCCCTCGTTACTACCACACTACCTTACACCAATCTCTTCGTTATTGTTCTCTTTTTCTTTTGCGCTCCTTAGTTTTTTTTTCTATTTCTCTTCGAATTCTCATTGTTTTGTGTGGCGCATATATATTGGCGCTCTCTTGTACCAATATTCATGTGTTCAAATAAATAAATAAAATTCATTTAGTCAGCGTATAACTTCCGACCTATACTAATATTCTACTTAGTGTGGACAAGTTAGAATAGCATGCCTTGGTTGACCACCGGATTACATAGATACTCTGTTTACACATCAACTATGGCTAAAAATTAGAGGTGGTTTTAATGTCCAGATTTTAACCGAATGGTCACAGATTTGTACTCCATATTACCTGCTTCATTAGTGCCACTAAAACTCCTTGAGGGTCACAAATATATGCCAAAGAAAACTTCCTACAGCTAAATCTACCTACCTAACAAATTGCAAATAAAAGCAAACTAACTTGACAGGATTGTATGATGAAGACTGCGTGTATGTATATTTCGTATAATTTGCACAAGATGTAAGCAAACCACAACGAGAATATTGTACATTATTATTTCTCTATAGAGTAGCTTATTCTCCAAATTTACAGGTATAAGCATTGTGAAATACCATAACAAAAGAGTAGTAACTGAACATTTGTAAATCACATTGGTATCACTTTGTGGAAAGAAACAAAAAAAACAGGTAAGTTTTTGATCAGTGAATTTGAATTAAAGACTTCAGTATTTGGTTCACTGTTTTGCAAACTTACGAACAACTTGAGTTAAATTGATGGATTTCCAATAATCATAAGTCGTTTACGAATAAATATCACATTTGCTTACAATCCAGATGCTCTTATTCCATTTAGACACATGTTGCACGCAATGTGTTTTAAGTTGAAGAAAATAAAACTGCCGGGAAACACTAGTTGTTACCTCATTTATAGTTAAACTTTCCCACAAATTAGAATGCGCAAATAAAAAAGTGTACCAAAACATGAATAGCTTGAATTAAAAAATCTAATATCAAGAGATAATTTGATGATGTTATTAACTCAGTCATGTGGTACAACTGCATTGATTCAAGGGGAGGTGGCATAAAAAACTAGATATTGTAAAGAGATTTGTTAATGATCTATCCAGTTGTCTAAAATTTGCAAGTGATGCGGGTAGGATTTACTTTATTGGCATAAATGCAACCGGTAGGAAGTGTCTAGTTCCTAGCAGCTTTTGTCTGGACACTATGCATTATTTCCAGCTTCCTGGCACCTATTGTCATGACAGGTAAGGATAAATCGAATATGTCAGTTGGTGACTCAACCTCATGAGTAATCACAAAGAAAGGGAATTGTTCTGAAGACAGTTAATGACAGTAAACATTGTATTTGGAACGTAGTGACAACATTCCAGCCAAACAATGAGACTAAATTAACAAATAAAATGCTTATCCGGCGTAGGTTGTCAATACAGAAGAAATAAAATAGTGAGTTATAAACATGCCTTCTGTGATGTCGAAAAATCTTAACAACTCGTACCAACATGCAGATATTCAATTGGAATTATTTTATGAAATAAAAACCCTCAAAAAACGTTCCAATTGATGGGGTTATTTGTAATAAAAAACACTGAATTCATTTAATCTTAACACAACTAGATACGATATGACCATTTGTGCCACTTATGATACCATTACTACTTATCCCTAGCTGTGATAGATCAAGTATAATGCTATTGAATTTGTCTTCATATGTACAAAAGTACTGATTTAAAAGTGTAGTTGTTGAACCAAATTATGTCCAGTACTGAAACATTCAACGTGGAATCTAAATCCACTGACTATAAGTGAGTATTATGCAGTAACAAACACAGTTATCAGATTTATCTGTATTTTGAAAATATCAACGTCTTGATGTTATTTGATCTTTTAGCTACACTGGATTATTTTCTTAACTTGGATGCAGTCTCAGTAGGTGTAGGAGAAAGCGTGAGAACAAACATGATCACATATTACGACGCTTCTAGGTTATGACCATATGTTTTTACACAAGGGTTAAGTTGACAACCATATTATTCGGCCACTTTAGTAACATGTAAAGTAACACATGAAGCCAGCCTTGTTGGATCAAGTTAGCGATTACAGTGAGATTATATCGGCTTTTTAAATACAATGCGAATTTATAACCAGATATTTTAAATGTTTGCTACCGAAGTCCAGTTCCCGCTTAGTGAAAAAGATTTCAAGAAAAATACGACGTTTCTTTAATTCGAAATGTTTGCAGGATCGGAAGGAACCTCACATTAGTAGAGACAGGTGATAATGCAGATCGTGAGATAGCAAAAGATAAGGCATTTAGGGATCTGATTTTGAAACAGTTAAATGATACAAGTGAAAGTGAATCATTCTTTAAAAGAGTACTGGTCAACTTGGGACTATTTAATCCAAACAACCTAACAATATGAAGACTTAGCAGATAATCAGCGGGCCACATATTGTTACTAATGAAATTGTCCTTGTAGGTCATCGCATGCAATTCAAGGAATAATTTTTGACTTTATGTGATGTATTATCCATAACATTAAAAATACAAATATGTTTTACCTACGAATACGTAAATAGTGATAATTTGAAATACAGTGTTGGCACTACAATTCGACATTTTAAGGTGCAACTTGGTTACACATTCCTATTTGTCATTCAGTTCTAAAATATGTATGCAACTACAAATTTTGTTGACAAACGGTTGTTTGTTCTGACGGTCCCATTGAGCTTCAATCAGTACTATTTTTCATAAGTTAGTTATTATCACTAAATACGTCATATATTTGATTGTAACAAGGGAAAAAAAGGAATGTGTTCCGCTTCCAGAATATTTCTCCGGTTTTGAAAACACGCAAAGAAACAAATAATTAAGCAGGGAGGTTATTGTAAAAATTAAATTTTTTTTGACAAGTTTACTTTTGTATGATTGTGACTGGACGTCTTATTACCACGTCTAGATAAATTTGTAGTTAGGATATTATTACGATGCCCAAAGATTAAGCCCAACATAACATTTTGTGGACTCAAATCATTAGGATTTGTGGCGCGTGGTGATAAAGATATGCGAGAATGGTTAGTCATGAGGACACGGGAAGTATTAGTATTTGAGCGAAGGGCTTTATCATGAATTAAATGATTTTGGGGTGCCGTTAAGGGTATGAGGACAGTTGTCACTTCCTGGCTGCTCACACGACGTAAGGGTATTTCTTATTGACGGATCTGAAAAGAATCCGGGTCAGTGGTGATCTTAGAGACCCGTCAACGTAACCACAGAGTCCAAGGGACAACTGCTTGAGGCCAGTTGCGCACCAGACGTATTTGATGAGTTAGCTCCACATTTTAAAATGCCTAACCGTCGGAGATGGAAATCTGTGGGGTATGGTGAGGAGTGACATTTTTAAAGACGATCATTTTTAACCCTACCCTTCTGGTGTAAACGGGGAGCACAACTGAAAACACCGGTTGTCTAAGAGAGACTGCTGTCATACCGCTCTACAGTTCGAGGTATGACCTCGCCTCGGACCTTAAGTTGCTGCTTTTATTCTTACCATTCCCAAACCCACCTGCCTGCATAGTAGGACCTAAGAGAACATGTGTTCCAGCCAATATGGCTTGGTTGAGTGATCACGATAGGGAAGACCGACCACCACATCAAGGTAACAGATACGGTTGGGATCCTTATCTGTCTAATTTGCTGGATTGGTAGTAACTGTTACGCCCTTTTTCTAGATAATCTCAATAACATCTAACTCTTCAATATTTTTTTCTTGATATGTAGGTAGAGTTATCTAATATTACTTATCATTGCTTTCTAAAGATAAACTATTTAGAGGAATATATACGGTAGTTTATTATTTCTACTTTGCAATTATGAGTATTTAAATGTAGATTCTTCGAATTTACACCTATCGCTCAACGTTTACAATCACTACTACTAGATTGTTCATTCACGATCACCACGCCTCTGGGTTAGGACTAAAGGGGAATAGTGGACTATTTTTGCTGCTACCTTGACTTGGTAGTCGAGCTTGCCTATCGTGATGAAGCAATCGAAATATACTGGCTGCAACAATCGTTCCTCAAGGTCCTACCATGCCAGACAGGTCGGTTGAAGAGCGGTGAAAGCAACAAACGCAAGGTCCGAAGGCGAAGTCGTACTGCTGACTGTACAGAGGTGTGACAGCAGTAAGGTGTTTCCTTCAGACAACCAGCATGACAGCGATGCTGCCTTCCCACAAGGAGGGGTGGGGTTAGAAAAGGTCGACCCTAAAAATGCACATCTCACCTTGCCTCACGGATTTCCGTCTCCAGCGGTAAGGCCCTTTGAAGAACGGAGCTAACGCATTAAAAACCTTCCACGAAAAGGCCGTGCGCGACCGGCCTCAAGCAGTTGTCTCTTGGGCACTGCGGTCACGCTCTCAGGTCACTGAGACCACCTCTAATCCAATTTCCTTTTCAGGTACCTTCAGAACAACCCTTCCTCGGTGCGGGCAACCGGGAAGTGATAACCGCCCTCATACCTCTAACAGCACTCGAGACCACTGTATTCATAATCAACCTTCCTCTTCAATTCCTATTATTCCTCCTACATCGACTTTCAACACTAAACTTCCTCTTTTGGCTTCCTCCTCAAGTGTCAGCATGGCCAACGATTCTAGTGAGCAAAACTGTTCCAGGTCTACTGAAACCTCGCTCCAAACTATACATTGGAGCCTTTAACGTACGCACCTTATGTCAAATCGGTCACCAGGCTTCCTTGGCTAAGACCCTAGAGCCTCGTTCCATTGATGTATGCTGTGTCTCTGAAACACGCATACAGGATCCAGTGTGGTCATTCACTTGACCTCACCTCGGCAAAACGGAGAGCCAACGAGATACACCCTCCGTGTATCTGGTGACCCGATGGCCAGTTCTCGTGGACTGGCAGGTGTAGGCATAGCACTAAGCATGAGGGCGGAACAAGCACTGCTAGAGTGGATCCCCGTCAACAGTCGTCTATGTGCTGTTCGGCTAAACGGCTGCGTAAGAACTCGGAAGGATAGGGACACACGTCGTTGCCTTTTCGTCGTTTCTGCCTACGCTCCCACTGACTGCAGCTCAGATGAAGTGAAAGATGAATTTTACAGAAAGCTTTCTGAACTTCTTCAGAAAGCTAAACGCTCAGACATAGTACTCGTAGGGTGACTTTAATGCTCAGATAGGTAGCTTAAACCAAACAGAAAGGCATTTAGGTGGATATTTTAGCATTCCGGCACAGCGAACAGATAATGGTGATCGTCTGCTGCAACTGTGCTCAGACAATCGTTTATTTTTAGCAAACACAAATTTTAAGCATAAGGAGAGACATCGTCTAACATGGCGACCCCCTACACCAAACCAACGATGGACTCAAATAGACCATATTGCCATCAGTCATCGTTGGAGAGGGTCGGTAGAAGATTGTCGCTCATTCTGGAGTACCTGCTTGGACTCCGACCATGCCCTAATACGGGCACGCATCTGCTTGCGCCACATTAAAAAGACCCATTAGAACTGAGTTGAGTAACGAGAAAACCAAAAGTAGGTTCCAGGAACAACTGAGGTCACACTTAGGTAGTTCTGAAGACGAGGCTGACCCAGATGTTGCTTGGAAAGAC